AGATAAGAGGGTGAAGTGAAGACTGAGAGGAAGATGGCGATGCTCCTGTCTCCTTGCTCTGGTGGTTCAGGAGCATGTTATAGATGATATAGATCTTGCCATCTCGGGTTGCTGGGAAGAATCGTAGCATGTCACTCACTCATCTCTGCTCTCTCCATGGTTCTACCCCCCGCACCCACCCCGGATTGCATGTGCCGGATGTGACAACCGACTGCTCTAGTGTACGCTGGGGGATGGATGGAGCTTACCAGATGAGGATATACGGAAAAGTCGCCGTCACCCGAACTTCTCTTCTGGGCCGTTGGAGATGCGGGGAAAGACGAGCCCTTCAAGGATTAACGTCACTCCCGCAACCAGGCAGCCAGTGATATCGAAATCCGACCCTTCTCGTGCCGAGATTGGAGCCGCGGAATCCGCTCCATGGAGAATTTAGCATTACACTCTCCGCAAAGAGTGTCACTTCTCCAAGGTGTGCTTGACGTTCCCCGCCTTGGAGCTGCTACTCGAGCACTGCAGGTCTGCTGTTGTTCGAGACCATGTCTTTCCTCCTCATTGGGGGAACTGACGGGCAATTTTCCGTCGACCTGCCGATAATCCCGCCGTCGATTAATGCCTCCTAACCAGATGTGGTCCTTGGTACGTGGAGCTGGACGTCCGTAGCCGTGGTAATTCCAGTGCTACCATTCTTCATAAGAAATGAGGTCCTCATGAGATCTGTAGACCATAGATATCTCGTCCTCACACACTCCTTAGCATATATTGGGTCTTTCTCTTCCAAAGATAACCAAGATGCTTGCCTCCATTAGCGCTCAAAGCGCCCCAGGGGCCCTCCAGGTCATAGAGAGCGAGCAGTCTCTTCCCCCTCAGGCGGAGATAATTGGCGATGATTCCGATCTCTTCACAGTTGACTCGTTGGTTCGTCGACGAGCCAGGAGCAATCCCGACATTCATGCCATTTCGTATCCTTCTTCCGGCATCGACTTTGTCAACTACACAGTCCAGCAACTCGATGTATTCGCCTGGAGAGTAGCCAAGCAGTATGAGCAGTCCTTGCCGGTCCGTTCCTCCTCTGCGGAGAAGCCTAGAGTCATTGCGCTCTTGGGCCCCTCAAACCTGGAATATCTCATCACCTTGCTCGCCCTCACCAAGCTGGGACACACCGTTCTGCCACTCTCCACCAGAATCCCTCAGCCTGCCATCGAGAACTTGATGAATGTTACGGGCGCGCAGACATTGATTGCAGAGGGTCGTTTCCTCGAGCTTGCAGGAAAAGTTTCCGACAGCATGTCAATCGAATTGCTCGAGATTGCGCCTCGCAGCGTCTTCGAGTTTCCCATCGAGGTCCACGCCGAGACAAAATTGGACCAGGCCTTGGACCCCAAGATTGAGCAAGATAACATTGCCTTTATCATTCATTCCAGCGGTAAGTTGTGAAACAAAATCGTTTGAGAGCCCCTCGCTGACATTGTAACAGGCTCGACGGGTCTGCCAAAGCCCATCTATCAGACACACAAGGCTTGCATTGCCAACTATGCAAAGAGCATGGAGATGAAGGCTTTGATCACCCTGCCACTGTACCACAACCATGGCATCTGCAATCTATTCCGCGCGATATATGCCCGCGTGCCCATCTATTTCTATAACGCAGACCTGCCGCTGACGCAGGATTACCTGGTACGGATTCTTCGACAGAACAAGTTCGAAATCTTTTACGGCGTGCCTTACGCCCTCAAGCTTCTCTCCGAGGCAGATGAGGGCATCCGTCTTCTCCGAGAGCTGAGCATGGTTATGTATGGTGGCTCGGCGTGCCCGGATGAGCTCGGCAACGCATTGGTCGAGAATGGTGTGAATCTCGTCGGCCACTATGGAGCGTAAGTCGCGTCTGATTCCCCGCAGCACGTATCAAACTGAGTTCTAATGCCTCGCAGTACCGAAGTTGGTCAGCTCATGACTTCCTTTCGCCAGAACGGCGACAAGGACTGGAACTATGTGCGTGAGCATGACGCTCTCTCACCCTATCTCCGATGGATCCCTCGAGGGCCCAACCTGTTTGAATGTACTGTTGTGGATGGGTGGCCTGCAAAGGTACAGTCCAACCAGCCTGACGGGTCCTACCACACAAAAGATCTGTTCGAACCGCACCCAACTATTCCCAAAGCATGGAAGTACATTGCGCGTCTTGATGACACCATCGTGCTGGTCAACGGAGAGAAGTTTGGCCCTGTCGGTATGGAGGGTAAGATGCGCTCCAGCAAGCTCATCACTGAAGCCGTCGTATTCGGTGCCGGCCGCCCATACTTGGGGGTTCTGATTGTACCATCTGCCGTTCTGGCCGGGAAGACAGACGAGGAGATCCTGGATAGCGTCTGGGAGGTGGTCAACGAAGCGAACGAATCAGTCGATGGATTTGGCCGTATATCCAAGTCCATGATCAAGCTGCTTCCGACGGATTGCCAATACCCACGCACCGACAAGGGGAGCATCATCCGACAAGCCTTCTACAAGACTTTCAAGGACCAAATCGAAGAGGCCTATGATGAGCAGGAAGCCAGCAACGAAAACCGCGAGAAGCTGGATCAGCCCAACATGCGCCGCTTTGTTCAAGAGCTCATCACCAAGACCTTGTCACTCAAATCATCAATTGAAGACGACGCAGACTTCTTCTATCTCGGCCTTGACTCTGTCCAGTCTATCCAGATGCGCAGCCACATTCTCCAAAACGTCGACCTTGGTCAAGGTATCAAGCTCGGCCAAAACGTCGTTTTCGAGAACCCGTCCATTGCCAAGCTCAGTGACTACTTGTACGGCCTCAGCACCGGCCAGGACGGAAACGAGGGAGCCTCTATTGAGGCAGAGATGCAAGGTCTGATTGAGAAGTATAAGACTCTCGGAGCCTCGCCTGCTTCTTCAGTCGTAAGTATCATCCCTACTTTTATGTCTCCAATCTTTTACTGACATGACTTCCCCTGAAAGGCCCTCACCGGAGCTACAGGCTCGCTCGGAGCTCACGTGCTGTCCAAGCTGGTTGAAAACCCTGCCATCTCAAACGTATACTGCCTTGTCCGCGCATCGGACCCTGAGACGGCGAAGAAGCGCGTGGTTGAATCGTTGATCCAGCGAAAGCTCTTCCACACCTTGTCCCTCGAGGCCAGGCGCAAGATCTCTGCTTTCCCCGCAGACCTGGCAGACCAGAAGCTCGGTCTCTCGGACGAGAACTACTCCCTGGTGTCGCAGAACCTTCGCTCCGTGATCCACTGTGCCTGGTCGGTCAACTTCAACATGCAACTTACAAGCTTCGAAAAGGGCAACATCGCTGGTGTGCACCACCTTCTTGCCCTCTGCCACGCTTCGAAGGCGTCCATGAACTTCTGCTCGTCCGTGAGCACCGTCACCCGGTCCACCGTCGTGCCGGTCCCGGAGCAGCTCCCGAACCTCGAATGGGCCCAGGGAATGGGCTACGCGCAGTCCAAGTCCGTCGCCGAGCACTTGTGTGCCGAGGCGGCCAGCCAGGGCGTCACGGCCAGAGTATTGCGAGTTGGCCAGATCGTTGGCGATACAAAGCACGGAGTCTGGAATGCTCAGGAGGCCGTGCCCATGCTAATGCAGACGGCTGTGACGATCGGCGCTCTGCCCAAGTTACAGGAAACCCCATCGTGGCTGCCCGTCGACATCGTGGCCGAGGCGGTCGCCGATATCTCGCTCTCTGAAGCCGGTAGCGTCTTCACGAATGTCACGCACCCCAAGACGTTCGACTTTGTCCGGGATCTACTGCCCGCGCTGAAGGACACAGGCCTTTCTTTTGAGGAAGTCGAGCCCAAAGAATGGATCCGTCGACTTCGGGCATCAAACCCGGATCCAAAGGTCAACCCCCCGTTCAAGCTCGTGGACTTCTTCGCGTCCAAGTATGACAAGGAGGAGTTTTCACCTTCAAAGCCATTTGCCACCGAGGTTGCCTGCTCCCTGTCCCCAGCGCTCGCCCAGGCTCCTGTTCTTGATCCGGCATTCGTCAAGAAATTCATCAGCTACTTCACCAAGAATTCGTGGTCGCCGCCCAGTGCCGCCAGCGGCAAGACCGCCATCATTTTCATCGGACCTTGCGGTACTGGCAAGACCACGATCGGGAAGAAGATTGCTCAATGGGTCACGTCACCCTTTGTCGAAGGCGACAGCTTGCACACGCGCGCCGCTGTTGAGAAGATGCGCGCTGGGACCGCGATCCTCGATGAAGATCGATCCGGGTGGCTCTCACGCCTGTCCACGCACGCTGCAGAAGTGCTGCTTGACCTGGACTATCCCACCGTCGTTGTCTCGTGCTCCGCACTGAAGCAGTCATACCGCTCCAGTCTACGAGAGACGCTCGCTCAGAAAGAAATCAAGGCAGTATTTGTGGATCTGCAGGCGTCCCAGCAGGTTCTTCTCGAGAGGCTGGAGTCAAGAAAGGACCATTATATGAGCAAAGAAATGGTCGAGGGGCAGCTGCAGACCTACGAAGCCCCCGGTGTAGAGGAGGTTGATGTCCTACCTGTGGATGCTGAGAGCAGCGAGGAAGAGGTGATCGGAAACGTGAAATGGCTGCTGCAAAGTTCCGGTGTGCTGGAATGAAGACGATGTGGAGGTTGGAGGTAAACAGTGCCTGTTCCCTTTTGAGCATATTTCAATTTTCTCTACGGTTTTGTTCTTGTTACTATCATAGCAATTTTTTTGGGTTTAGATTTCTCATCACACCATGCAGACGCTAGAAATATAAAGACGTAAAATCACAATGTCTTCAAAATCTACTTCCATAATGATCAATGCTGTCTATCCTTGAGACATAGCGTCTTCAGTATCACCTTTGTAGTCGGAAGGCGGTCTCTTATTTCCCAATGTTACTTTGTTGGAAGCAGGAGACATAGTCAAGTAACAGCAGTCCCAGATTTCAAATATAACGCGTCTTTATCGTTGTCCTTTCGGGATTTGAATATCTTTGACCTCCGGAACTGAGAGATCCGGAGTATAGTCTAGGTGTTTGTTGGAGGAAGTGGCAGCATTGGATCAAATGGTTCGGGATAGTCATCGACGCCTTCACCAACTCTCACATTCAGACATTCGTTGAACCAAGTATTTGCCATGGCAGTGCCTGGATAGACGTCATGATAGTCTGCGCGTTCCTGGCTGCCAAGTATGGGGAAGTGGATGTTCTCGCCACGGCCGTGTCCGTCGAAACGAAATCCTTGATCGATCCACGTCATGCTGCTGCCCCCTGCGGGGATAAAACCGCCGTTCTTCCAGACTCGTGCAACTCCGGAAGACTTGTTGACCCATATCAAGTCTACAAGACCGTCGCCGCTCACCTATGATAGTGATGATATCAGTATGTATTCTTGTTCATGCCTCCGTGCATAGGATCGAGACCTACATCAGCCCATCTGAAATTGGCACGATCAAGCCTCTCTGTAGGTGCGAATTTGATCTGACCCTTGTATTCCAGACCGTTTGCCTTGTTCAGGCTTCCGACAGTTCTGCCGTCCTTTCCCATACAGAGATAGTCGACTCGCTTGTCACCATCTGCTCGCGTGTTAGAATCAAGAAAACGACAAGCACTCAAGAGTGCAGTTGCATACCTAAGTCTGCGAATCTTAGACCTTGACCATATAGGCCGGTGCCCCAGCCCTCTGTGCACAAGTTACTTCCCCCATCGACCACCCACTTTGGTCCATCAAACGTGGGTGACTTGTCCCCATTCTTGAAAGTGTTGCGCCACCACTCGACTCGCCCTGTATGCCTTTCCACCGCGAGGATATCGCAGAGACCATCCCCATCCCAGTCACCCTACTCTTTTGTCAGCTGCTAATTCATATGGCTAGTACGCGAGCGGAGGTGAGGTGGTGCCGTTCAATCGTCTGATCGGAGTAGAGCCAGTAGCGACTTACAAAGTGAATGCTCTTCCGTTCCCTGTCAATGTTGATGATCACACCATGCTGACCCCAGTTTGGGGGCGCCTGAATGTTCTCGAACAGTGTGATCTCTCCAGTAGAGAGTACCCAGAGGTAATCTTCGTGTGTTTGCCAATGTCATCTTCTGCTCAGGAATCGTCTTGGAGGGATGTTACTTACCATCACGGCCTCTACCAAACATGTCGCAGTAGAAAACCCCATCACCTTTTCGTCTTGTCCCACCGCTGCCTTGGTTTCCGAGGAGTTTGAAACCATTCGTACCGGACGTGTCGATCGCGACCCGGTCAGCTCGCCCAGTCCCCTCCACACGGCCAAAGTAGACTTGCCCTGGGCTTGTCACAAAAGAGATAGCAGCATGCTCTTTCTGAGCCCTCGCCCAGTGTGGTCGCAGTCCTTTCCCATCGTTGTCGTAGTCTCCACGCTGATTTACGAATATCTTGCTACTACCATCTTTGTATACGTAAACCCAGTCGGATCTGCGATCGCCGTTGATGTCCACAAGATGGACACCGGCGATCCCTTCGGCTTCATGCTGAGCATAGAACGTAGGCTCGCCACCAACCTACAGCGTTTTCGGGTTAGCATCTTGTTTGCCATTTGATTTTTGAGTCCATGAAAGAACCTCTACTAAGGGGAAGCTTACCAGGTCTTGCCAAGAGCCTCCTTCAGCCTCAGTAGGTGCCCGACCTACGCCGCCATTGCGCCAGCAGTATATGTCACCCTGGTCGTCGATGGCACAGTAGTCCAGGCGCCCGTCCCCATCCATGTCCCCGAGACGAACCCGGTCCTGGCCGCCCCATGGCTCGCCCTCTCGTATTAAACCCCCATTCCCCGTGGGAACAAACTTCGGGGGGTTGCCTCCTTCGTTGATAGCCACATACATATTTCCACACAGATTTATGCAGATAAAATCGTCTAGGCCATCTCCATTGACATCGCCCCAGCGGATTCCTCGGGCCAGGCAGCTCAAGCCCACGTCTAGCCTCACTGGATTATTGGGAAAATTGCCGTTGACGTTGAGAAGCATCATACAAGAACCTGCGGTCTTGTCGGGTTCTGTATCCGTGCAATAGACCAGCTCGTCTCTTTCCCCGCCTGGGTCAATATTGTTGACGTTGACCAGCTGTGCAAAGGATACTGAAGTACCAGCTCCATTTGGGTTTGGGATTTTCGTTGTGCCCAGATTCAGGTCTCGAGTAGCTCCCTCGGCGTGGGAATAGAGACCGTCGTCGAAACCATAGCCAACCTGGGTTTTGATGGGACCACGACCTGCCCCACGTTCAACATCACATGTGGTATCAACGGGACCTCCATCATCTCTGTCGTGATAGTCAGGGATTCCAGTATTAATGGGTGCGGTCAGAAACCCTCTCCTCTCTGCTTCGGCAATGGCTTGATCCCAGACTGCCGCCAGCTTGGCAGCCCCTTTCTCATTAGGATGAATGTTATCGTTCACGGCGTAGTCTGTATTGGGGTCCAGAAAACCATTATTTAGCTCTGCAAGCACAATCTTTCTTCCCTCGTTTCCAAGACGCTGTGCCAGAGCGCGATATTGGTTATTAATAAGGGTGACGTTCGCGTTGGCTGCATCTTTGCGCGGTATGAGTGTTGAGAGGATGACTGTGACGTCGGTAATGCTCGAATAAAGAAACTCCAACACATCCTCCATCCGGCGCCCAGTGCCAGGAATGTCCTGGTTCTTGCTAGGGTCGGCATCGTTTGTCCCGCAGTTGATCAACACGAGGTTAGGCTTCCGCTCCTGCACCGTGTCGTTCGCCACCCCTATCATCTGCCGGACCACGATTCCGGGGTGCCCTTCATGCTGTCGATTATGGAATGCAACAGGGTTGCCGTTGGCCATGCTGCCGACCATGTTGACCGGCCAGCCACGCCATCTCAGTTGATCTCTCAGGGGCTTGCGATAGCCGTTTTGGGGATTCGTGCCCACGCCGGCCGTGATTGAGGCGCCGAGGGGCATGATTCTCAACAGGAACGGCTTCTCCTGGGAAGCTTGTCGCGAATCGACTTGGGCAGAATGTCCGGCATTGTTGAGAGGAGCGGGTGTGGAAGCCACAATCAAGGGAAGCAGCAACAAATGAAGTAAGAAAGACACAACGTAACCTAGGGAGACTGCCATGATGAAGCACAGTCTAAGGTTCTTCTATAGCGCGTAAAATGCTCTAGAACCTCGTTATGGGACAAGACCGGCTTATGTAGCCATTTTGACAGGCTCAGACCATTCTACGTCCAGAAGTGGATTTTTGAACAACAATAGAACGAGAACACAACTCATCCAACCTTCCATACGCCATGTGAAAATACGAGCAATAGAGTGCATTTTTCATGCGTGCCGGGCGTATTTCGAGGTAATGTAACGCAACATCACCTTTCACAATTACACGAAAAAGGCGAGGACCCCATAGGGCTATGCTTAGGTCTGTCATCTGTCGTCCAGCTATTCGCTCTGAAAACTCAGTGTTTTTGAAATGGTTGGTGATATTAAGGTCTTTTGTAGCTCGCGTGAGCTTGTATCCGGACATATGACCATCCATGTAAGCAGCATCCTAGGATACGCTCTCACACCCCAGTATACGCTTCAACCTCATCTTTACCTGCAGCTTATCTTTCATCATCTCCTACCTCATTTTTTTTTCATTACTCTAGACCTGCAACTCACAGTTTCCTTCTGGTCAACGCTTATGCTCCATCTTCATCCATCTATCAATGCCTCTAATGCCTTCCGCAATAATCTGTGGGCAATTCTACATCGATGTGCTCTGTACCTTTCTGGTCTGAGAGAACTCTGTGTCGTATAACAATTTCTAATGTAGTTCCTTCCCTAAATACCTCGGCTCTAGACTGCCCACAGCTTAGCCACCAACATCGAGGTGATAATCCATCAAGCCGGGAAATAAGCCGAGAATTGTGGGTGGTTCACCAGTCATCTGGAACACGTATTCGCTTTGTCTGTGCCCGCTCTTATCTCCCTCGGATTGAACCTCCGACCGTGGTCACTCGTTCAACCGCTATCGTTGCAATGCCTATCTGCTCTTAAACGCGTCGCCTTTGCCTGTGAGCCAATAGCACGCATACCTTTTCATGCCACTGATTACCGCAGGAGAAGCTCTTGGAGAACCAGACATCTCTTTGATAGCATTAGTAGTTGTTGAAGGCACAGCCAATAATGTAAACCATCTAAGGAAGTCATGGAGAAGGCATGGGCTCTAGCTTCTTTGAACGTCGCCAGTTAGTTTAATGATAATGACATGATCAACTGGATATGTTACCTTACCATCGCTGAAACCATCTCCATCTGAGCATGATAGGGTTTAGTCAACTTCGTCGATGCCCAACCCTCTATTGGATAAGAGCAGATACGAATCTGGATTTCAATAGCGCATAATCGTGTCACGCGCAGAGAACTTAGCGAGATATGGGTGGCTCTCAGCATTGTGGACAAATTTGGAATAGTTTCAGACACGAAGTTTGTTTGCCCGGCTTCATCTCCGTAGACGCCGCCTCGGATCATCATGGCCTCATTGCGTCAGGACTCAGCCAAAGCCCAAGGCGAGCTCATAAATTGATGCCAAAATCAATTTTTGTGACATTTACTGCTTGGAGTACTTTTAGTATCTGGCTTCATCACTATCAATATGTGAGTAGCTTGTTTTAACAGGCACCGTCGAATTTCAACACCTATCCGCCACCGGCGGGCTCGGCTCATCGGGGAGGTGATGTGAAGGTTGCCCGATCACGTGAGTGCTCATGCACAATATGTCGTTCGAATAACTATTAGAGAATTGATTCAGGGCCTCGATCTCGATATATATCAACGAATCTTGTGCTCAGGGAGAGGTCATGTGGGTAGGGAGGGGACGTCCAGGTGACTCCTAATAGGTCTTGCTCACCCATTCAAGGCATATAGGAGCAGCACTCGGCAGGTACGGACCCGCCTCATATCCTGTTACAGGTCTCGTGGGGTTTATCTTGGATGTTTATATAGATTGGGAGCAGCTATTCATGCATCTAGCGTATATATTGGTGTGATAAGCGAGCTCGTATCATCCGATCCCTGTATCACCGTAGTTCTCATGGAGATAACCAGGCTGGGCTAGACCTCCCGGAACTCAGAGTTGTGGAGCTCGGACGGATCCTGGGGTAGTGCCTGTCATTGAAACACATCAGGCAGATGGGATAGATATAAAGAGATAGCGTCTTCTCTTCGAGTCTCTATTGCTCCTATATCCATGTCCAGCATCAAACACCAGATACAATATTGAAGTCTAGGGTTGCCCCCTCCAACTTTCTAAACATACCAAAACATATCCCTAGCAATTTTGACCTACACAAATCAAAATGCCCTCCGTTATTCAAGTTACGCCCACACTCATTGTGCGTAAAGCACCACCCAAGGTAGTCGGACCCACGAACGCCAACCCTATTCGGCCTACCAAGAAGCTTCCTCAATACATGATCAACGAAGGTCTGGCACGTCAGCCTATTCAGTTTGATCCTACAAAACACCTCAACTTCCAGAAGCCCTCCAAGCTTTACACCATGGAAGAAATCGGTCTTGCCGGAGAGGGTATCTCCAACACCGCTGCCTCAGAACCGTTTAGCCTCTTTACCCCAGAAGCAATCAAGCAGATGCGAGCCGAGATATTCAGCCCCGAGGTTCTTAAAAGCAGCCAGTTTGCTTCCGCTTTCGCTTCCAATATGATCCGTGGCTATGGTCCCAAGTAAGTATTCAATCTCACGTAGTCCCGGACGATAGCAACTTACTTACACTAAAACCATTCAGGCTCGCCCCTTTTATTTTCGATGCCTATAACAGTCCCGAATTTCTCCGTGTCATATCTGATATGGCTGGGCTTGATCTTGTACCCGCATCTGATTGGGAGACTGGCCATACCAATGTCTGGTTTGAGGATGGCCAGGTTGATGTCAACCGCACCGAGAAATCTGCCTTCTCCTGGCATCGCGACAGCTTCCCGTTTGTTTGTGTCACGATGCTTTCCGACTGCACTGGCATGACCGGAGGCGAAACAGCCATGCGCATGGGCACTGGCGGTATTATGAAGGTTCGTGGCCCCAGCATGGGCACCTCATGTATCATGCAAGGCCGTTATATTGAGCACGCTGCTCTCACTGCCGAGGGCATCCCCGAGCGTATCGCTATCGTCACGGCATTTCGCCCCAAGGACCCTCTCGTTGCCGACGAGCTCATCCTTACTGGTTCCCGTCCCATTAGCCATAAGGAGGACCTCTACTACCAATACTCAAAGTACCGGTTGGATGTCATTGAGGCTCGCTCCCGTCACCAGTTCAAGAGGATTATGGAGCATAAGCGGTACGGCCGCGACTTTGATGCCGACGAGATGAAACAGTGGCTCGCCCAACAGAGGGATTTCATTGACGCCTGGATTGGGGAACTTATCTAGATTAGTGAACGATGGAAGTATCTGGTATTCATAGCGACGCATCTCATGATGAAAAATAGCAAAATTTGGCCCTTACCCCTTGTATCATGTTTTTATTTACAATTGGCCTGTGTATTTCATGAGGAATCAAATCCTTTAAGTATCCTTTTGATTGAGTTTACTACATGTACTATGCCTGACAGAATCCAAGGCTATCCACTCACTATAATACTCTTATATGGTATATTCTGGACTCTCTGGCTTTACACTTCTGCTCGCCTACTACTATAGGTGATGACCCAAATGGGGATCAGGACAACTAAAAGATCGCAAGAAGAATAGCCTCAATAAGAGCTATTGTAAACCACTTAGTTAAAGAAGAAAGAACCATATAAGCCTACCACCAGTCACATAGATAATTCTCAATTCCGAAGACCAAATAACCCGAAGCTCAATCTATCCCGAAGCTTGAAATGCCCGCGAGCCCTTAGTTTCATCTCTTTTCCTCTGTAGCTTGATCCATGAGCCAAGTGAGCGATCGGAAATCTCTTCCATGTTGCTTTAACAACCCCAGCACTTCCTTGTTGAGAGGTTGATTGCCTCGGTTCAGCCATCCCACCGACTTTTAACCGTCTACATCTCCCCTCTCACTTGCTTATCTCATGACACCGCGTAAGCTTCCGTTGTCGGAGCTCTTCCATTCCATGATCTCACCTACCCCAGGTTAAAAGCATACCGCTATCACTCTAAGCAAAGTCTAAGGCATTGCACTATGACTTCCACCAAAGTTCCAAAAATGAGCTCGTTTCGGACTCGCTCACTAGCCATGCTCATGCTGGGCGTTGCTTGTGCCCGTTCTGCTACCCCAGAACATCACCTCCAGCTCACCGCAGTCGTATCGGACAAGGACCAAAATGCCGCGTTCGAATGCTGGGAATTTTCCACTGCCTTTACCGAGTACCCGACTGTGGGATCGGCCATCAATGGCCTTGCAGATGTGTCCAATATCTCATATGTCATCCTGCCACCCCAGTCCGGAGAGGGCCTCCACAAACCTCCGCATCCGATGTGAGTACTCTCCTACCCACACGACTATCTATCAAGGAATAATCACTAATTTCGGTTGAGGTTTTTCGCCTTGCTCTCGGGATCAGCCCACATCACCTTGCCAGAGGGCGATGACGAGTTATGGATTAAAGACGGCGAAAATGGACTGATAGTAGCCGTTGATACTGTGGGAGTCGGTCATTACACCGAGTACCCGTCAGATATTCCGTCAATTGCGCTGCAAATCCCGTTCAAGGATGGCGTGGCACCTTCTCACCGCGTCATCAAGGATGGACCGTGTATCACGACCGCTTCGGCCACAAAGGAGGAGCTCACTCGCCCAGAACTTTTTGAGGAACTCAAATAGGTCTGCCCACAGTTGTGGGCGCATATTTTTCTCTCTTTGGATCCTGTTCCAGGGTGGGGGGGTACGGTAACTTACAAAAGTGCTTGGCCCTAAATGTGCATCTAAGAATCCGTCTCTCTCTTAAGACAAGTTTATCTCTGCCATTTGTTTCAACATTTCTATCTTAAACTAGTCGTAAATAACCAAGCTATTGGTGTTTGCAGAATTTTTGATAGAAGAGCGAACAATTTTTGGCTATTTCTTCTCTGAAACACCAGGAAGGCGAAAGACCTCGCGTGCAATGAAACGTTGCCTAGACCAATAAAAACATCGTCTGCATATTATTTGCTGTAATAATTAACATATGAGTATACTTATTTTGGACATTCAGCCTTGGTCCATTATTAACCGCTAGCGGGACTGTCAAGCTGCATAATGCACTCCAACGAACGGTCGTTCTTGAAAACTCTTTCGTATAGGGTCCCAATCTCCAAGCCTGCACGGCTCAACCCAAAGCCGGCACCGCCATCATTAAGTACCCTAAGCACTACGCTCTTCTCCGTAGTTGAATGTATCTATTAGAAACGCTCATCAGAGCTTGCAGCAGGGCTGGGTGGTCGGTTATGTGTGTCCACGTCACGCGCATAAATGCTGCCTGCAGACGTGGAGAATCCTATTCATGCTCTCCGAGGCAGCCAATTACTCCATGATTTCAACCGGAAGCGAGATTTATGAGCTGTCATGTATTATGCCTGCGGTTTTTCGATAACTTGATCTTTTTCTGTGTCCTCAATCCTCTCGTCATCCGCCCAATCGCTTTATTGCTCGACTTCATTACGGCTCCCGTCGGTTCTTCCACACGCCCAAAATGGAAAAGCAGGTGTTTGATAGCTTTCTGGAACACTGCCAAGAGATTCCTGAGGCTTCAGCTGGCCTCGAGATTTTCAATTACACGGTTTGTGCTGCGGCCTTTATTGTCTCCCCTCTAAATCGTTCTTCAAGCCCTGGCTCTAAGATATTGCAACTTAATCCAGGACTCAGCGTACAACTGGTGTAAGGAGTATGATTTGTCTTCGAAAAATTTGTCCGAGTTCTTATACCGTCGAGTAAGCTTTCAGATATCACGGCGGTAAATGTGGTTTGGTTGCGCTAAGTAGCTGAACGCGTGATAGGGAGCATTTAAACCACCAGTTCCCTTGGGCAATAGTGTGAAATGCATTGGCGGTCTTAGATTGATGTAAGATCCACCTTTCAGCATTCGATATCTTGCAGGTGGCGCGTGATCACTCACTGAGGTACATCAGAATACAGACGAATGAGGTTCACTTTGACACACCTACCAGTCGTGCAATATCCCTCCCTAAACAGCTGTATAGGGAGATGTTCAATGCATTCCATCTAAACAAGAGAAGCGTCGATGCAGGCTCTATAGTTGGTTCATCATTTTGGGCTGCCGAAGACGGAACTGATGGTGATTCTTATCTGGGTAAGTGTTTTCATTCCCATTTGATGGTCATACAATGTCGAGAAATTACTGGATTTAGCTCAAGTTGATGGGCCTTAATGCTGATGGATACATCCCTACAGCTTTGATCCATCGCCAGTCATTTGCAAACAACAACGGAGAACCCCAGGTTTGTGAGATGATATTGTCATACTCTTTCCAAACCAGACTCACTTGCGGATACCTCAGAGGGTCACCAAAGTCCAATTTATCAGAAGTCATCGCCCAGATGAGAGCTTTACCGCAGCAGATGCTCCATCCTATCTCGCTTCCGGTTCTTTTGGCATCTTATCAATTGACTCCGCACAAGACACAATCTCACTATAACGCCCGTGCGCGCCTCGAACAACTTGAGCACAACGTTGCTCAGTGTCAGGAAGCAGATTCTGGCAGCGAAGTGATGCTTCTTGCAATGCCATGTAACATGGATGATCTAGTTCGGGAGATGGCCGAATGCTACAGGGACACAACGTCAAATAGTATTAAGGATTACGGGGCGGTCTTGGAGGGGATCGAAGAAGCATTGGATACATTCTGGGATATGTGTTTAGTGTTTGATGTTAACGAAACGGCGGATCAAGAGGATTCAAGTCGCGAAGCCATCGAAAAGATCCACAGAAAGCTTGTCTCAACTGTGCATTTTTTCGCCATGAAGTTGGAAGGGCTGGAAAGCTTCGTTGCTACGACTCAAAGCAGGCTGAAGGTTCAGCGAAAGATGGTAAGTCAAACCAAACCAGGCAATACTTTGAGAAAATATGACACTTCCTCTAACTTTAATATCATAGATAAAAACGATTCTCTCTCAAAAAAACATGAAGCTGGTTGAAAAACTGGCTGCAGAACGACGCAATGGAGGCTTCGTCGAAAAGAACTGGAACCAAACTCCGGGGGCAAAATTAACGACAGTGTTCGGACCTAGCTATCTTCCTATGTTCGTCTTTGTTGGTGTTCTCTCTTTTGGTTTCCTGGCTATTAAATTAGTCAATTTCTTGTTGAATCAGCTCCTATCCGTGCCTATTAAGTTGAGGGGTCGAGGAGACCCTGAAGGGCAATATGAGAGCCCACGCATGCGGCGAGCAGACGTCATTGTATATATTTTGGCTCTCGTCCCAATGGCGGTATTCGTCACTCTTCTGTATAAATCTGGGAAGAGAAAGGGAGCTGCGATCAAGGAATGGGACCTGGAGAAGTTGCAAGACGGGAGCAAGGAAGGGTCTCTCCCAACCAATGGCGAATTACAATAACAAGGTACCTACTCTCGACAGGACACTCTCTACCTATTTATTTACATATGTACTCAATGCACAAATACATTTCAACAAGACGGCAGATTAGATATTTGCCAAGCTAAATTAATATGAACTTTTATTCGGGGGCCAAGGCGGCTTGCATCATTGGACTGTAGGCAGGCTACTCGTCCGTAAACGTGCAGATCTCCCACTGGCCAAAGTGTCTCTTGAAGCCGATGACGCACCAGTCGACAACCTCAAGGGCGTCGGTGTGGATCATATCCGAGCACCGATCCCCGAACCGGATGGACGCTCAGCCAAGGGGAGAAGCAGAATGAACTAACCAACCAGTGAATGATCCCCCATAAGAGCAATCTTCTCCTAACTGTGAGAAGAAGTAGATTGATTCCACGGAGGAGTGAATTTCTTCCGTCTTGGCTCGTGATTTCCTTCAACTGCCCCATGATATCTGGATTCCAGCGGAGGCAAAAGCACGCCTTTCAAGCCCGGCAGCCGGCATGCAATGCTACGCTGCGCCCGTCTGCTCTCCTACATCCCAGGAACGCTTCCAATCACATGGGGGCTGATTTGAACCTAAACATTTACCCCAGGTTGTTCCACCTCCGGCACGGCACCGTCATCGTCGCCATATTTTACGCTCTCCTACCGGAGGTTTCTCCTTCACTAGTGATCGAGGGGAAGCTAGACGGAGTGGACTCGGTGGAGCATCATATCAGCACGCACCACACACAAGAGCGGCTTTTTTTCGATACAATTCTCCATCGCCATCGTGTGGATGACTTGTCGAATGATACCCTGACGATGGTGTCAAGGAAGCCGGGCACTCCGAGGAAGCTCCCGGCTTGCGACCCGTGCCGAGCTGCCAAACTGGCCTGCGACCATTCCAGGCCAGTATGTACACGTTGCCGCGACTCAAACCGCACCACGGAATGCACATATCGGCTGCTACCTTTCAAGAAGAAGAAACGACTCATGGGCGAAGAGGAAGGCTCGCCGAACAAGAGAACTCAACAAGAGTCGCCACAAGGTGCGGCGAGAGCTGTAGAATCAGATTTACCCATTGATCCAATGATCACAAAGGCACACAAATACCCTAATCCTGGATATCTGGGCTCATTCAGTCATACAACCCTATTCAACCACCTTCCAGGGAGGAGCCATAATGCTAGTCTCGGTGTAGATGGGGCATCATATGATCCGAACCAGTCTCGTCCCATAGCCGCCGCGCCAGAGTCCAACATTGCCCGCGGAGCAAGCTTGTTGGAGCAACTCGGCCAGACGTTTTCCCTCTCTCTATGTGAGAGGTTAGTTCGACGGTGGCTATCAAAGGGGTCTAATTTGGCACTTGCTGGGGTCTTTACAGATGATTGTGCCAAAACCATTCAACATGTTTTCCCTGAGAGGAATGGCGGTCATGCACCTGACTTTATGGCCATATCCAAAAGTCTGTTCTTACACACTTCCCGTCCTTTGCGTGTGGGCTCTGATACCACGCTGGAAGGTTTCACTTCCCAATTCTCTCATAATAATGCACGGTGGGAGACCCTCGGGCTTTTCTTTGCCGCCGTATCCAGATCTACAGTTGATATCTCGTCCATCGAATCCTTCTTTGAGTCGGAAACAGAGAGACGAGATCTTCAACGCCTAAGTATGACTTTTGCTGATACTTGTCTCGACATGGCTATCTCATTAGATTGTCTCAATGATCTGCAACTATTTTTGCAATACGAAACTTTTATCTCACATTCTTTTGTAGACGGTGATCAAAGTAAGTGGCTCGAAACAAATTGAAGTTTATAGCTTGCAGCTTGCAGCTTACATGCCTCACACATCAGGTTATCATACATGGAAAGCGCTGGGGGACGTAATAAGTTCTCTCTTTGCGCTGGGTTACCACCAACAGCTCGAAGGCAACAGTCCAGCTACACCCGCGTTCCTCGCTGAGCTGCGCGGCGCTTACTTTGCAAGGGCTTATTCCGCGGATAAGAATATCTCCATCTTCCTCGGCAGGCCTCCGCGAATCCACGGGAGGTATTGTCGGTTCAGGCTCCCAGGTTTCGGGGACCATCAGTGGAAAATGGATCTACCATTTGACTACTTGGTCGATACTCAATGGTCGGCATTATGCGCCATCCTGAAAGAGGAGATTCTAGATCTATTCGAGGCCGATGATAATCCAGGTCGCGCCCATAGAGCGAGGTGAGTGCATTTGGCAGACCCATTCTCGTGTGTGCCAGCTCGTGGCACATTCTCGATATGATTTCAAGTTAACAACCGGTTAGCTTGTTGGAAACCCGAGCAAAGGATCAATGGTCGGCCTTGCCAGAGCATTTTCGCCTGGAGACCCCCCTCAGACTTTGCAACCGCGAACCGATAATCCGTGACTTTATGGTCAGTGCCAGGCTGAACCATCTACACATTTTGTTTTTACTTCGGCTTGCCTTGTCCAGACAAGCTCCTGATTCGGACAAGGAGTTGGTTTCCATATCTGTTGAGATACTTGGCCTTGTCGTGGACGCCATCATTCAAAAAGACCAGCTTGTAAACTCCGGTACATCTCTGGTCTGGAAGGTGAGCACATGCATCCGTATCCATTACCTCGCGCTTTCATGGCTAATTCGTATGGTTTCTCAAGATTGCGTACTATGGGCTTTCTGCCGCAGGAGTAATCTGCTTATGGTTACTAAACCGCATGTCAACTACCCGACATAGCACCCACATCAACATTTCCAAAGCTGTTCAGCACCTTGGCGTGCTTGTAACGGAAATGGAAACAGGTATCCTCGTGCGCACCGACGACCCAAACTACAGGCTCCTGGCGAGTGCTTCCCAAACTATCGACAGCCTAATCAGTCGGTTATTAATGGGAGGAATACCTTCTCAACCGACTATTCCTCCAGCTGCAAGATTTGTGTCTTCGATTCTGAATTCAGCGGAACAGGAGACTTGGAATGGTTGGGAGAGCCATTCACTGCAGGATTTTGAAGTGGATTTCTGGGGTAATTTGGCTGAACATCCTTTTCTCACAAACCCTGAAATTATATCTTGAGTGAAGAGACATATGATTGCGTTTTCAATAAACCTCCATGTGCACAAGTGAAAAAGTTAAAAGGGTGCATATCATTTTTGCGCATAAATTTGCGGTTGCCTGCGCGTAATTGAATTTGCGATTTGCAGAGAACATCTTTTTGTCTGTGCGAAGGTGAGTACTCGAAACTAGGCCACCTGATTGGCAAACTTTCAGAGTCTTCCAACTGTCCAAGCTAACAAACTTGGTTTAATTTTAATTTGTGTGCAATTTTCGAGGCCATTTAGAGCAAAACCCGACTTGGAGAACCAGTTCCAAGGTCAAATGCTGAGTGATTGTTGAGTGATATGCATGATGCCCTAGAACACACAAACAAATTGGACGGTATCTGAGGTGAAGGGTTAATCATCTACCGGGATACTAGATGAGATGACAAAACATGTCAATTAGAAAGGTCAATGTTCAGTAAACGCACGGTGGCACGTTACACCATACACCCTTCACAGATGGTTTCACAAGCATCACAAACAGTTCGAGTACCCGCATCCAATTCGCAACTCGAGTTAAACTTCCTCCAGATGCTTACGAGTACACGTTTGACCGGTATTCAGTTTCACATCATCCTCATAATCCCCAGAAGCTAACATTTCAACCCGACCCAATCTCTAAATTCTTGGCATCAACAAACCCCCATATTGTGTCGCTTAGATCAAGGGAACCAAGACACCTCTTCTCTCAAATTTCCTTATCTCATCCAAGGAGAAAGATGTACAATGATTAACGCTAGACAGTGTTGGTTAATTTTGTGCGTCCCTAATATTTAGCACTTCAAGTAGTCTTTGTTTGTGTTTATGACGCGTGGTGGATAAGTATTGTGACAGTGAATCACTGCCGTAATTTCATCCCACCCAATTGATTACGAGTCCTGTTTGTTTGCTGAGTCATTGTGGGTTCTACATTCATCTTTTCTGTCAGTGAAGCCTCCTTAGAGCCAGCCCTAAGAAATTGTCTACCTTCAACGCACAACAACTCTCTTCCATCTCCAACCACTCACCCCAACCCTCATCACAACCCTCATTTCATCTACAACCCCGCTTGCTTCCTCCAAAACTGTTACCTTCTCATCTAACCTACATCACCCACTCATTATCTGCCACTCCTCATCACCATGCCCTCTCCAGGAGCACGAGTGTCGCCGTGCAACGCAAGAGTCAACCACGTAAGAATTTATTCCTGTCACCTTTCCGGCTCTCTTCCCATCACTTCTTCCTGTTTGCAACATTTGCCATTCGGCTACGCTGACAAGTTCACTTTCAAGGGAGAAGCAGCTGAGGGAGCCGAGTAGGGCTCGTCATCCCCAGCTGGTCCATCCGAAGGTTCTCTCTTGATAGACGCCGCAGTTCTAGGATACGGCGGTGGCTACTATGACTACGACGACTTCGAATACGATGCGGATGGGTACGACAGTGAGAACGACTCCTACTACAGCGATGACTCTTGGAGCGACTCGGATTCTCTTTCCTCCAGCGAGGCCACGGACGAGGAGTACCTGGGTGGAGGGGAACCTTATCAAGGCACATTCGTGGCCACGATTGTTCCGTACGGGCAAGCATTCGCAAACGCCGACAACATGGGAGGAGTCGGATTCTCTGCTTCGGAGAGCACAACTTTCGAAATCATCATTGTCGACGATGAGGGAGGCGATGACGACCACCTCGAGACTCTCGACCTCGCCGTCTTCGTCTCTGAAGAGTCCCTCATGGATGAAGCCGCCAACCTCGACACCACGGAGTATTGGGCTTCCTACGGCTCTGGTGATCTAGACAGCGACGGGGACGAGTCTTGCATCTCTCGAAGCGACTTCGCCAACATTCTATCCGAGCAGAATTTTGTCTCCGTTGACCAAGAGGATGACGACATGATCTTATGCAACTCGTACACCTCAGAGAACGATACACCAATGGCAACCTCTTATGGCACAGGGGAATATGGCGTGGAGTATGCCGACGTGCCAATCTGCGTCGATACCCCCACCACGGCCAACGAGAAAGCCGGCGGTAACGTGTTGAAACGCAAACTTGAGATTGAGAGCGAGGATGAAGAAAAGCGAGCCAGGCAGAAAAGCTTCTCCTCTGTAGAGTCTTAGTAAAGTACAGGTGAAACTCGAGAAGGAGATGTAGGAAGCCGGTCAATAGGTTGATGATCTGATCATACGACGGATAAAGTTGCAGATGTGTTAAGGTAGAAAGAAATCATCGCGATCTAGGTTTAAGATCGTTAGATGATGAGTAGACGGAGGCTTATATGAACCAGGTTGATAGAAACAGAAATCAAAACAAGTTTGAATCGTCAGCCATTTTGGGACGTTGAAGTCTCTCTCCAGGAAAATGTATTGTTGTTGCTTCCGCTTCTGATTTACGATTAAATGTTCACTTCACCCATCCATGCGAGCCATGATCAGGTGCTCGGCTCATCTACGTAAAAGTAGACGCGTAGGAGGAGAAGCTGCATAAATAAAAGTCCACGTCTTACCCACTGGCACGCGAATGGTTCTGCCCGAGCAATGCCTTCAGTCCAGGTCGAGCATGGAACCACGGCTGTAGGGTACTTAGCTGACCGAGATTTAGCTCGTAATTGCTTTAGGAGAATGAATAGCTGAATATACCATCATATCCAGCTATAAGAGTACGATTATCTCGATAGTAGCTGCAGGACCAGAGCAGCACCAATCCCCAGTGATCTGGCGTAAACAGTATTGATTGTCTGGGATATTGATATTCGGTTGACAGGGTATACACATGGGACCGGCTCCCACCGTTTCAGATTCACGAACTACCCAGTTCCTCATCCATGAATGCCATCACTATCGCTGCTGTTATCCACCGCTCGCTGTCCAGGTTCTGCAGTACATCCATGCACATGATTCTTTTGCCACAGAGATAATGCTAATTCCTGCGGAAATCCGGACATAGATATTCTCGCATCTGATCCACAGCGATACCCCTGGACCTGTGCTGGCCAACACAACTGCACGCGATTTGCACTGTCAGACATACATAATAGCTTCTATCGCATCGCCTAGCCTCTGCTGTACCATACTATCCTCGTACTCGACAGAAGAGTATAATATGTCGTGAAGGTATTAGAGGCCTTGTTCGCCACTTCCAACCTCGCACGGCGCGCGTGCGTAGTTTAACCTTGTCGGATCCCGCCTTGCAGGAAGTGGTACCCGGTCATGAGCAACTTTCTCGCAAATAGGCTGCTCCTCTTCTATCTCGCCAGGATTAGGCAATGCTTTTAGGGGCCACAAATCTAGAGGCGAGCGGCAACAGTGCCCTAACCAACTTTAATGTTTATTCCTTTTATGCTCACCTAGCGACCCAGGCCATCTATTGTTTGTCTGAGTATCTAATGGTTCTCCTTGAATCTTCAATAGCGCCGGGTTTAGGTATTGAGAGAGTATGGGAAAGAGCCCGTCGAGTTAGAGCTGAGAAGGAGCTTTCACCAAATTCATCTCTTTGCTTTTAGAGACGTGTAAAATGGCACTATTATAGGATCGCTCCTGGGACTTAAAGTGGCTCTAAAATCTCGAGATAAACATGTCAGAGAATTGCTCATTAGGAAATTGATGCGGACCGTGGCTGTAGACTCTGGCAAATGCTCTTCCATCCAGATTAGAGCAACCAACTCTCCTCAGTGACCGTGGCGCCCATCTGGGCTAGGTGCTGTTTCCCATTAAAAACTGCCATTCCTTTCTTTGAAAACGTCCCTCTCGTGCTTACTTGCAAATCCGTTTGGAAGCTACCAAAAATCCAAGAGGAGGAAATCCCCGCGTAATCTTTTGAGGAGAAGCTACATGTGGGTACGAGTTAAGCGGCCTTCTATTCAATCACTTACGTTCGTCAACATGTCAAGTCCAGAGATCTACTATGTAGTACGCGATGGTGGACTGCTTGAGTTTGAAGGGGAAAACCACGGGCATGCACGCGTTTCATGTGATTGGCAGCTCTACGTCACGATATATGATATTAGCAGACCTGATGCATGTGCTGCAAACTATTTAGCAAGTAAATTGAAGCCTGTAATCAGTATTTTCCAGCCATATTTTTCACCACTTGTAGGGACAGGCCCTACAGGCCCTACAAGGCATGCATCCTTGCTTCCGGAAGAGCCGAAATCAGGCTCACCACGAGGCCTGGATGGGGAATCTAAGCCCTACCTCATTGTGTTCAAAGCGGTATTTCGTCTGCAATCAATCTGGGTTACAAATAAATAAGTTCGGTACAGGTTTTGTTTCTCTGGGCTTCGGGCTGGGTTCCTTGCTACAATAGGAAGGACGTATGCAGACCATCCTGGCTGTCACATCTGTTTTGGAACATTTCGATGGAACATATATAGGGAGACAACTTCCACCACCTTCAGAGGTGCCTTCTGGGGAATTCATCAACCCAGTCGGGATGTGGAGGAGGTTTGACCACCTCTCTTTACAGGCATTATCCTGTGAGCGCGGGATTGCACTAATCAATACCCATGGGCTGAATCAGAAACTACTAATGACGCCAAAATGCTACACTAACCTAATCCCCCTCCCCTAATAAAGGAGGCTGGTCCTGCCAGCGATCTGGACTCCCGAGACTAGCCCAGCAAATCTTCTCGCCTTCAGCTCCGGTCAGCATCCCCTGGGAAGAGGCGCCACAGCGTAAGCCCTTATTAATGCAGGTGGGATTTCATTATACGGGACCAGCAGAAGAGCAGGCTCAACGGGTCCACGAGTATCGATAATGGGTGGAGATAGCAAGGGAGGGTAGTATCGAAAGCAGCAGTATTTTTCATAGCAAGGAGTGGCTTAATTTAGAGCTTCCCAGCTGAGGCCTGATCGTTCCCAAAGCATCCAGACGGGTCGAAGATGAAACAGCCTCGCCGATCTACTGCGTCCGCAAATAACGGCACACCTCACGTAATAGTGCGAAGGAAGAGTGACATTGTCACGGTCCACCTCAGTGCCTTAGCCTGGATTTGTTTCAGCCCAGCTGACAGTGCAGGCTGCTGCGTCTGCCATTGGGAGAGGAAACTTAGCCACATTCGTGCTTGACTTGAAGCGAGATGAGTTGGCGGGCGGCCTTCCCAATGAAGGCTCTCAATTGGCTGTAGGTGCGTGCTTATGCACAGCTCGAGTCGTTTTCTCCTTGGAGTTAAGCCTGGACCCAATTTCGGTGCCGGCTGGAGTCTTCCGCTCGGTAATCAGACGTCTCTGCGGCCAGTCAGGGCTGAGCGTGCTGATCAGCATCGCGAGCACGAGTCCAGACCACTTCATATGCAGCATAGACGGCAGTTTCCATTGGGGAAAGTCCAATTGCTGGGTGACATGGCTTGGCAACGGCAGAGTATTCCAGCCGAAGGAGCAGAAATTAGAACAGCCCGCTTGGAGAATGGCGTGAGCCGTTTTTGTCCACTTATCAAGGCGGGCGGCAGTCACTTAGACAGGGGCCCCCATGCCCCCAGCGGCCTAGACGACATTGGTCCTGTTCCTACGTTTCAAGTTGGACAAGAGGGCATAATGTATATACATGGAGGTGGGAGAGCAGCGCGCCTTCGACGTGCTTTCGCCCCTTACTGCATTTTCTTCTCTCACTACTGCGCCTGAGTGGTTGTTTGGAGAAAGCTTCGCATGCAGCTCGCGTGCCGCTGCCATCATGTCTCGCTATGTAAGTTGGCTCGTTGAGCTTCTTCATGCCAGCCTTTTGCTAACATGCCTTGAACTCATAGCCTGAAGATGCGCCCGAGGTCGCCTCTCACTCGTACCCTGAATCGTACAACCACGTACAATCAGCCCAGATAAATCAGCAGCATTACCAAAGTCCTTCGACAGCGCCCTCAGAAACGCCGACTACAGTCTATTCCCAGTATGCCAAGCATGACAATGATATCATCTACGGGCAAGAGCACAAAGAGGTCCTTCGAGGGGGCGACGGCATCCCTTACACTCAGGAGCAAAAGAAGATTTTCGGGCTACCCGTCCTCGTCTTCATCTTGTCGGTCATTGTCGCAATCATGGGTATCGTCATCATAGGTCTGGCAGCCGGCCTTGGCATCGCAACGCACAACTACCAACAGGCCAACACCAACCTCGACACAGCCAACGCCAATCTCTCAGCGGCTACGGCCAATCTCTCAGCAGCCAAATTTGTTACAAGCTATTCCAACCTAACGAATGGATGCTCGGACAGAGCCACAAGTGTAACGGGCACGAAATATTCGACGCATTGTCAGTACATCCTCCGCGTGCTTGAAGTACTATCAAACATCCTGACCTTTTACTAACTTGTATGGTGAAGCCTATGACTACGCGGAATACACAATGTACTGCAACAAAGACAACCCGGAGGGCCCCATCTTCTCGCTCTTCTCCGGAAGCTTCAACAGCTGCATGGAAGCATGCACGACCTGGAACAAGTACCTCGACGAGAAGAATTATACCTCAAAAGCCTGCACAACCGCCACTTACATTCCTTACTGGACCAACATCTTGATGGCTCTCGGCAATTCGGCACCTGGTGACTGCTATCTCAAGGCCGGACCCGTCAATTTGAAAAACTTCACATCAACGGGCCCCGATCTGGAGGTCCATGTTGCCATCAAGGCCTGATCTACGACTTGGCCGCGCAATGAGAGTATTAGGATTAGAAAATTAATAATTAACGAAAACTTCGCCGAGAGCCGATACCCTTCTTTTTCTGCCATGTAACTTATATCTAGACCAATACACTCTATACTATTTCCTTGCTATTCCGCCTAGGGGATTCTGGCAAAGCCCCGAATATACGACTCAGTGAATAACAAGTACGTGTCGCAGTGAATGTGTGCTATACAAGAAACAGTGCCTCGCCTGGCTTTATTCACTACTCACACGAGGCTCACATGATGCTCTGTCAAAGGATGTGTCTCCGCTAGGAATTAGTGGAATAGGTATCCATAAATCGTCACATTCGTGGCTGGCTAGGTTGGTAGAAACAATCAAATGGCGTGAAGCACAGATGTGAAAAGAATGTAGGTGCTGTTGGAGTCTGCAACAAGGGCTGTCGAGGAACCTTACATGATACTTACAACAGAACTATTTCGTCTGTTCTCAATTCACGGTAGATTTCCAAGCAATTCCCTTTTTTTTGCTTTTTTATTCACTCTAAAAAATAATACTGCAAGTTCGTCATGAAAGTCTTCCCGATGCTTGTTGGTTCAAGCAAGCTTCGCCAAGTCTCAGAAGGTACCAGATGTTGAATCTGGCACGAGACTCTCACCAAGTAGATTGTTCCTCCCCGAAACAATAATTTCCATCGCATTTCAACCCCCCTTTCCCTCCAATTGTCTTCTCCGCCCCAAGTTCTTCTCAAGCAGAGATGCTCCCTTCTTAGATAGCCAGGCCCGCCTCAAATTCAAACGAGGAGTTCTAGACGGGTTATTTCTACAAGATCCCCTCAATGCAAGGATACATGTGAACCTTCTCCAGAATGCGCAGCCTCTGGGCCGCAAGATCCAAACAATTATACTGGAACTGTAGATTCAACGAGAACGATGGAGCCATGTAAAAATTCAATCCGTGAGCGCGTTGTCGGTAGAACTCGGCCTCTTTGTGCCTGCTCTCATCTTTCAGGAACAGCGTCAGAATCTCCATACATAACATCAGCCCAATGGGCCTCTGGCCGTCGACCAATTCGCTGAGCATGATACAAATCCTCAGCTGCATCTCCGCATTGTCGAGTTGATCCATGGCCCAGAGGCCAAGGCCGAATTTGCAACGTATCACAACCTCGGCGCTCAGCTCTGAGCGATGTGCGAACCTCAGAACAGCCCACAGATGCGGGAAATACTCCTCCCACGTACTGGTCGTTGGTGGCGGCAGCCGTATGGCAAGCTTCACCATCGTTGTATCGATCACTTGTAGGTGCTCGTTTTCATTCTTCAGCCAAACTCGCAAAGAAAGCTGCACAATCGGATCAATCCGGATCGAGCTGGATGGGCCCTCCTCGCCCTGGAGTATAAAGGAGTGTTCCTTGAGCCTCTGCAGGGCCTGATAGATATCTACCCCCCGAGGTGGCTCTGGAAGCAGGGACAATGGAAGGGGGGCTGCATCAAGATAGCACATGAAGCATAAAGCGTCCCACCCAAATGAATCCTTGCGCTTGATCAAGCGGAACAAAGGGTCAAATTCATCTGCCAGCGAGATTGTGACATTCACACGCTGAGGCTGGGTGACGGCCTTCTTAGCTCTGATCACTTCAGCCGCGCGACTCCAGCTCATTCTAATGTAACTGCACGTCTTCTTGATTGCCAGAGGTGAATGCCCCAGGAGTTTGATCATTTCCAGTCTGCTGCCATTGCCATATTCAACGCCATCAGCCATAGTTTGGCACCAGAGCTTGACAGCTTCGTCATCGCTCATGCGCGACACGTTGATGATGTTTTCTGGCCGAGCGCCGAGACTCGCGGCTGCCTGGCTGCTCCTCCCTGTGATGAGTATCGTGCCATTTCTATTTCTTGGGAGATACTGCCAGAGAGGGACAACACCATCTGGGCAGATATGCTGTTCAGTGTCGATGATCCAAAGCCAACGACCCTCGTGGAGCTGCTCAAGTGCTTGAGTGACTTGCAAATGCTCAGTGGTGATATCTTGGTATAATTTTATCCCAAGGATATTTGCGATTCGTTTGTAAGAATCATGCAAATCGCTCAAACTTGCCGCTGACAACCAGAAAACAGAGTGGTCTAAGTAGCGCTCACGAACTTCAAAGGCAACATTGAGAGCCATCGTGGTCTTTCCAGACCCCGGGAGGCCTTCCAGAAAGATGACATTATCTCCAGCAGTGTTCGATCCTAGGGAGAGGCTTTGTAGGATCCGGTTCAAGATGCCCTCCCGTGGGATAAACTGCGCGCCTCGAGCATCTGGGACTGAGAAATAGCGTTGCGGGGACGGGGAGGAGGACATCGTGACACCAACGGTATTCCAGTAGGTTGCCGGACGACCATGAGCACCGGAAGGTTGAGTGAAAGTATTCCTTCTAGCAACGGTGTTTTCTGGCATGGGGGCAGCGGTATAGCTGCCAAGAACCTTCCGGCCTGGTTGCCAAGAGGTTGTTGAAGTGGTTGTCGAAGGGGACATTGCCTCATCATCAAGGCAGGAGACTACCGTACCGCCCAAAGTAATCTCGCCGCCATTATCAGAATTTGCAGGATCAAGATCAAGTTGATCGGATCCTGCAAGGGCGCAGGGGAAGGGCATGGCGCAAGCCAATGTTGCGACTTGACGGAGAATGAGTTCAGCCAATCGCGAATTCGCACCTTCGGGGCCTTCGTAATGAATGGGACCCTCAGGTAGGTAGACAGGATTGATGCCAAATAGAGACGAAGCGACATCGCCAAATAAAAGGACGGCAAATTCTGGGATGATGCAAACGAGTGCATTTGTCTCGCAGCCATCACATTTCTTGCCAAGCGCTCGATCCTGAGGCCAGCACTTTGCAACGTCAGCATCTATCTATTGAATCGAAGAAGAAGGAGCTTACATGACGGTTCCAGAGTTTGCACATGAGACAAACACTAAGATGTTCGAGGGCGAGAGCGGCATGACCAGTATCAGGAACATTGTTGCGGTCCATAGTATAGCCTATCGGCAGTTGCGTAACAATGAATGGAGGAGCAGCTTCTTGATTTGATGACTTTGAGGTAGGATGGAGAGCGAAATATTTCCTTTGATCTTGAAGAACAGATCAGGTTTTTATACCTTCTTTCTTCGTCTGCTGCATGCCAACAGACAATCGATGGCATACACTTCGCCCAATCATCTTAGGCACATAACCCGCACATCGCATACCGCAACCATACGAGCGTGCCCAGACGCAACCACTGCATAGATAGACTGGCCAAAGACTAGCGGTGTCTCAGAAGTTAACCAATGGACAAAGACTGGCATGGTTCTGGGCCCTTCGAGAAAGCCGTATTCCTTGATAGGTTTGCGTTTGTTCGACGCTTGCCATGCACTTTGGGTGTCCGCCACAGCTATCCACGGACAGCTGGCAGAGCTAGAGTCAAAAAGGATATAGGCCTCTTTTCTCATCATTATCCATGACGCGGTATGATCTCAGCTCTAGGGAACAGACGAGAGATATCAAACAAGGTACCAATCGTGGAAGTCCTGGTGACATGACACGAGCTACCAGGAGAACTATGATAGTCGCTCCGAGTTTAGCTCTTTTCTTAGGCCCTCTGGGAGCGTACGGCCAAGAAGAGCAATGTGCATGTGTGTATATTCTCTTGGGATGAAATGTATAACCTACTTAGAGGACTCAGTACTATACTTGGTTCTCCTCTATCGCGCCTTGCATGCTTATTTTATGATAGATGATATGATCCCAAGACATCAGTCACAAACGGAGATCGGTCCCCGCCTACACCCCTTGTTAGCACGTTCTCAAAGGTCCGAGGAGGCACTGACCTAGTCACTACCATGCACGGCGCGAGATATCAGAAGCCGAAGCTCAGCTCAGGGATACCTCGGATACAACCGATCATCCTAACTCAATCTGCAGGCTAAAAGTCTAAATAAATCCAAGCTCATCAACCATATATCGGGAAGTCCTTGTGACAAGTTTTGGCGTTAGATTGAGCGGGCTGGGGAAGTATCAATACGATACGGCCCGCAGCCACCCGGGGGGGATTTCCCCAGTTCCGGGCCCATGGTCGAACTTGAGTTGGAAATCTGGAACGTGGGCAAGTCTGATGAGTGCCGCTAGGACCTAATCTCAGCTTACTCTCCCATTACAGCGAGTTGCAGATGATCAATCACCTCGAGAGAGATAAGCACACCAAATATTTGGCCCTCACCAAGCGTCAACAAAGAACCTTTGGGAGGGGAAACAAGCGTGGGAGAAACGAGACTCGTTAAAGGCGACGAGTAAGAATCCTTCACGACCCATGGTTTGTTTCACTTGGGGTAGTATTGGATAAACACTGAGCCGTCTTGGCAATGGGGCCTCTTACTTATCTACCAACCAAAACACGTTGTTTCGGCCGGAGCAGTGGCTGGCTAATGCATCTCATGCAGATGACGATGCCAGGTCAGAGCTTGGAGGGGAGTTGAACAAGCATCCATCCATGGCCAGATTCCGTCACGCTTTTCATGAAGCATACTCTGATAGTCTGTATGATATCTTGGCAAAAGTGACTGAGCATTTGAACCGCTCTAATCCTATTCACCATCGCAAAAGTCCCAAGTCAAACGGCCGTCTGGAAGTCGCCATCAAATGCAGGAAACAATACACAGAAATGAGCAGCGTTCGCGGTGTCCACCTAAAATGTACAAGATCTACGAGCCTAGAATCGAACCGAACATGAACGCAATGACGTCCCGTCGGATGTGAGTACAATGTGGGGGCTGCAAGAAACTCCCTTCTGGGTAGGTTGTTACACAGCATGAAGAAATTAATGAAAGCCCCGTGTGGTCATATTGCATACATTCACTAATGCATTACTGGAGCCTACTTCAGCCTACTTCTCTCTGTCACAAGGCCCTTTACTCGCCATGATGGCGCAGAAAATACTGCCAGCTTAGTGCGGCTATAGTGATCAGGACGAATCCCCTTAAACAACCTTGTCTTTCGTGATATTTCAAAGGTATCTTGGCAGACTGATGCGCAGGCTGGCGTCTTTGGTTCCTTTTTTCTTGGGTGATTAGATCGAGGAATAAAGAGTCGGTCAGCCTGAAAGCTGAACGATTGGCATGCATGGCTGAACAGGGTTGCTGGAGCCTAGAAGCACAGTTGCATCAGTCGCACACATACACGCAACCGGAGAAGCGTAGGAGAAGCGCAGAAACGCTCTTACTAGGAATCCATTCTCATGCTTCCACCAATCGCGACGAATTTGATTATACCTCGAGGGCTGGACGGCAACTAGTATGTGCCGGTGGCTCCCAAGGCACACGTCTATCTACCCGGTCTCACACACGGGCCCTTTTGATGCTCTAGTGCGACCGGGGGCGACAGCCGGTCAACGGTCCTCCAATATTACCTACGTACTAGCTTTTACCAGCTCCCGCTCGAATGGCAGTGGACTGTTCTTTGCAGTGACCCTCTATGGATCCCCCTACTGCGGGTCTCGGAGCCTCATAGGATAGTCCAACGACAAATATTAATATTACTTGCATAGACATGAATACAAAGAGAGAGGGTGCTTGCGAGAATTCAAGCCTATGTTGAAATATGATCAGCGGCCCACCAAAAAGCAGAATGCCTAATATCCGTCGAGGAAGACGCTCATGCTAGTATGATCTATCATGTGGTACACCTCCCGCAGATGACCAGCACGGCCATGTCAGTAGGTCTAATGACCTAGATAGACACCCTTCCGTAGCTGCTGATGCAGTGGGCCGGATCCGAAAACTTTCCGTTCATACTACCCTGCCACCCAAAGTAAGGCTGGCGCCTAATAGGTATTTTCAGGGGCCCAGCCCCTCCACCAGTAGGTTTCGTAACATGAGAGAACGGTTGATTTTTGAAAGCTTGACAAGTAGTTTTTTCCCTCGTCTCTCAGGTAATTCTGGAATAATATTCCATCCCATTCTGTAACTCTCTAGCTTGAGGGGGAAAACAAACAACTCCGCCAAGTCGAAGCAAAACGTCAGAGTAATAAACGGTTTCCTGCAGCTACGCTCAGGGCACCTTGCATGCAATGTAATCATGCAAAGGAGAGACATTGAAGTGGTTGGGGGGGTACGGAAAGCCACGGCTGAAAGAACGAGAAACGAATAGAAAGAAAGGAGAACCCCCGCTCGTAGAGGGTACTTAGTACAGAGAAGATAAGAATCATCCCTTCAGTAAATCTCCCCCTGTGCGTTTAGTTACTCTATCGTCTCTAAGAGAAGGAGTTAGGCGATACAAGGAATTTGTCGTCTTCCACTCGATCTGAGCTAGAACGGCTGATCACAGGCAATGGAATTAGCTCGCCTTCTCGAGAGCACTTCCAGTTTTCATGTTATGCATCTCGCCTGAAGCCCGCGACGGCCGACATTAGTGAGACTCCGTGATAATGTACAGAGTACATTGACTCAATCTCGGCAGAAACTTGCTCAGCTGCAAGCCTGCAAGCCACAAAGACAAACTAGGTAAACATTCGGCAGAGCTTGCTGGCAGCCTGGCTGCGACGTTTCTTTCCTTTTGTTGCGAATCTAAATCCTGATTCTATGTCAGATGTGACGTTTTCTTCCCCGCCGGCCACGCGTGCATTCGCTGCCTGCTAAGCTGCCTGATGCAAGCCGATGCCCCAGCCCGACGAGATTACGGCTTGCCTCTGCGAAACGCATCATTGAATTTTCATTGCGACCAGCACAATTTTAAGCAGAATGAAGCCCACCAAGACATTTCCTCGAATTATGGTCTTCCACCTGATTAGAAGTCATCCATGTAGCTGGAAGGGTGAATAACTTTTCTAAATATCGCGACATGTCGGATACAAGTAGAACCGGAGGTTGACTTCCGGCGCCAGGATTTAGCAAATACGTATGCTCTCGACACTCCCTTCCCACTACCCTGCACGCAATAAACAGCATATTCCCATTCTTGGCACGCGTGCAATGCAGATGATGTGACCGTTTGAGCGTGCTCCCTGCTGCACATGTGCCTCAGTATTGAAGTTCCATGGAGACATCAGTGTATGCTTCGAATATTGATCTTGCTTACAATTTTACAATTTAAGAATGCAGTAAATTCAATCATTCTTTGAACAAAGGCATGGTATCAGTCAAATCTGTGAGAATCGCAAACGGTCGTTGTCATTTGCAACTCTGAACTGGAGTAGGCTTCATATTGAATATTACATCAACCTGGTATACATGGCGTGGTGGCAGAGTGGTCTAATGCGCAAGACTAGAAATCTTGTTCCTTCGGGAGCGTCTGTTCGAATCAGGCCCACGTCGAGACCTCCGTTTTTCCCAAACGGGAAGCCCGGCGGAACATTTTTTTTAGCTTAGCCCACCCATCCACCACTTGAAGAAGCAACATTCTTACTTGGTGGCACTCATCTCATTGTCCAAATTTTAGAGACCGTTACCGTTTTACTCTTAGACATTATTTCGTCCAATCCACCGAGGAGTAACTAGCTGAGCTGCCAGTCCGTCATTGGGATAGACATCTTGCCTCTAATCTGCACATCGTGAGGGCGGCCGACAGCCTAAAGGCGGGGTAATCGGTTGATGACACTGTTACACAAACCAAAAAATCAATCGTACTACATGGACGTCATGGGATAAGCCAAGCCAAAGCAATGAAGCACGGAAACGTGTCATCAAGGGGACTGGACTAAAGGGGCCTGAACTGAACTCAGGCGTTGTTTTCTCTCTGCACACGCAAACTTTCTTCGGCAGGAGGCGCAAGAATCAACGACTGCCATAGGGTAGGTTCCAAGGCGGTGTAGGCAGGTCTGAGACAAAACCCGCTCGCCGGCAGGGGACAAGTAGCATTTCGAGGAGTTGCTTATCCTGCACGGGGAGGGAAGATCCTTGATGAATTTCCCCCCATACGACATACATACGCATTTGGGCGGCATATTGGGCTTGACTTCCGTGAGCGCTTCGGGCGCGTTCCTCTTGTTTTTGCTGTGCTGG